GAATGGGATGTCACTTACAGTAAGTTCATATGCGAGTAAAGGCAGGTGAGCGAATACTTTTGGCAATATAGTGATTAAAGTTATGGACTTTAATTAAAAAGACTGTAAAATGTATTATGTTTCATTCCATTCCTTTCCAATATAAATAGTCACATTTTCCAACAGCATCAAAATGACTTTCTGAGCCTTGTACTTTCTGAAAAAAACAATTAAAAGTAATACTAAAAATAAAACTCAGAAATACTTCCTTTAATAGTCATTGGTAGAGCCCTCTTGGAACATTAGTAGAAAATGAGTTATAGAATAACAGGGAAATTTTGAAGTTGATCATAATTCATGTATCAATTGTATTTTCATGTGCACATCTCAGGTATTTTTCCATAAAGCAACAAAATTGTATTTTTTAAATAAAACTCAATATAAACTATATAACATGAAAGTGGTTTAAATATTGAAGTGATTGTAGCACATCTGCATTCATTATACTGGAGATTTCCACCACTATTTCTCACTTTATTCTGCTTCCTAGTTATGAAGAAGAACCTGTATAATTTGAGATAAACTATGTACCTATAACTTATTAAAATTTGAAGTATTAAAAAATGGGGGAAAAAAATCTCCAAAGAAAGCTTATTATTTTTCAGAGACATTGTTTAAATACAGGAAATAGTGGACAGTTAATTATGTGCTTGATCCCCTGCCACTGAAACTGATGGAATTAAAAGTGTCTAAAAATAACTAGTAGAGTTTTTGTTCAGTATGTGTAATTACTCTTAAACCGTTAATTGCACATTTTCACTCAACGTTCTCATTTGCTAATACTATTTTAGTAGCAGGATTAGGATGGTTCCGTATCTTCCTTTCATGTGCAAAACTGCCAGGCTCTTGTGAACTCTTAAAAAGCAAAACACAATATATTATAAAATTTCTGGCACAGTGTGTCAAGAGAGTATAGTGTTTTCTTGAGACTAAATTACAAAAGTGTATTAAATTGTGGCAGCTGCCAATGATCTGTTTACTTACTGTTATGTATCTCTTCCCTTCTTCTCTTTCCCTCATTCCAAATATGGTGCCAGAAAACATACAGTTTTAGCTGTTGGGTACCAACAGATTAAAAATAATATCTAAGAAAGCTTAAGTGTTCTGAGCTTTTGACCCTGTCAACTGCCAGTAATTAAAGGCATGCCCTGACTTTAGGTGGCTTTTGACTACTCAACATTTAAAGTGAGCAGTAGGTTATGGGATGAAAATGACAGTAAATTAAAAGTGCCAGCATTTCACTGAGGTGCAATCACTTGGCATAAATGCTACAGCACATAACACATAATCACGTCTTAAATGATTATTCGTGGTCTCAGACCATTGAAAATATTGTGCTTTCCTCAGGATATCTATGTGCTGAAAATGGTTCCACCCACCCCAGCATCACATGTGGAAAATTAAGTATACAGCGAAGGACTTCAGGGGGGGAAAACATTCTGCCCTTTCTTTTACCAGAAAGAAACCGAAGGATCAAAACAAGATCTAGACTTTGAAAAAATAACATTAACATGTTATTTTTTAACAAAGGAACACAGTGGGCAAGTAATTATACTTTTTTTCCCCCTTTTGCTAACATGAATTTCTATCCTGGCTTTAAACATTCTTTTTAACATCCCACATTGGTGAAATTCAAATAAAAAGTTGACAAGGTGTATGCAATTTGAATGCCTTACTCCTGAAAGTTCATTCATAGGTACAAAGGCCTTTTTTGGTACATATGGTGAGAAAGAATGCTTTCGTAATATTGTCAGAGTAACACTTGCTGACAGTCACCTGTTCAAATTACTAGGATCCTTTTTTTAAAAAAACTCCACAGGTTCACGTGGATGTGTGTTTTTTTTTTAAATGAAGGCGACCTTAAATTCCATATATTTAGTTAAAGAAACCAGAGTTTCCATCTTCCATGCTTTTTTGATTCAGTTTTGGATTTTTGCTTGGGAGTTGAGGAGTAACTCTCCTGAGAATAAGGCAAAGGTGCAACCTGAGTTTCCTCAATAGGGTGAAGTTTTCTCAGAACTGGCTGGAGTTTGTCTTCTTGCTGCTTAAAATCTAATTCCACACTAAATAGTGGAAGGAGAAAAAAAAGAGAACCACAATCAGTTGCCAAGATAGAGGTTTCCATTAAATTAACATTGAAAATGAATTTGATATGTGAAAAAAAAAAAAAAACCCAGATTCTGCATCCCTCTAACACCACATACTGACAAGAAATACTATATTGCAAAACAAGCAACATCTGAAATCTAAAACAAAAGTTAAATATATTAATTGTACCATGGAACTGTTACCCCCGCTAAGATGACAGAAACCAAGTCAGTCTCTTAACCCAATTAGTCGTCTCCCATCGTGACCCGTCAAAACCGCGGAGGACAAAATCGACGAAAGCGCGCATTTGACGTCATCACAGCGCGACGAAAAAAATTAAAAATTGAAATAAAATTAAAATTAAAGCAAGCCGATTCACATAAAGGTAAGGGTTAGGGTTAGGGTTAGAGCGTTAGGGTTACGTTTAGCGTTAGGTTAAGGGTTAGCGTTAGGTTAAGGGTTACGTTAACGGTTAGGTTTAGGGTTAGATTTGGGGGGGGGGTTAGGGTAAGGTTTTCACTTTATTTTTACATTTTTCGATC